AGTTTATAAATAGATATATATATGTGTGTGAGTGTGTGTGTCTGTGTCTGTGTCTGTGTGTCTGTGTATTCATATATATATATATATATATATATATACGCACACACATACGTACACACATACACATACACACACATACCCGTATATATATATATGTGTGTGTGTGTGTGTGTGTGTGTGTGTATATAGTTGTATAGATACGGATATTCATTTATATATGTGTGTGTGTATACAATTATATATACAGATATAGATGTATATGACATTCTTTTTGATGTATTCAACTGTATATACATGTAAGGACTACTTCATAAAAATTTAGTATTAAGCAGATACACTCAGACTTCACGCTATAACCCTGGCTTCGTTTGCATACAAAAACATTCGCGAAACTTAGGGATCATACTGACAATATCCAAAACCTGCCGCCTACATTGGGAATGTCAGTCCGTATCCATCAACTGCCGCTCAACCTATTAATAACACTGGCAATCCAACCTGGCAAATAATATTGACCACATCCATCCCATGCTGGTGATTTAAGATACATATCTTTCTATCGTCATAAACACCTACTCCTACTTCACGTTCAATTAACTCTGTTCAATATTCATCACTCGCCTCGGTATAGGCGGTGGTATGAGTCCGCTAAAGGGCGGAGATGCCGCAGCCTTTCTGAGCGAGACCGGGGTCTCGCGCGAATCCTTGAGAAATCTGTGGCAAATTACAGATGTGGAGAAAAAAGGCTCTATAGATAAGGAGGGGTTCAATGTTCTGCTGAAGCTGGTGGCGTTGGTCCAGAATAATATCGAGCCCACCACAGCGAATTTGGGCCGACCGACGGGCATGCCGAGATTGGGGTCAAAAGGAGTTCAAAATCTGGAAATCACAATGTCTCCAGATACATGTAGGTGATCTTTGTGCTTCTATTGCTCACTTTGCTTTAGTCCTATGATAGGAGTATAACGAAACTTTCCTACTATGGCAACAAAATACATCTGTTTTTTTTTTTGGGAGAGTGTATGAAAAAAGGGCGGTAGACTGATGGGCTGTATGGTAGCGCATAGCGCATATATGCTGAACGATGCGACGCCAGTGATTTCTCGATGATACATGAGTTATTGGGGACAAATTCTACATGATAACACGCAACCATGTGCACATATATGCACATACAGATGCGACACCTAATGATTCGGGCCCATTTTAGGAAATATAACCCACCGACAATGTGAGATACAACACCCCCATCTCGCAATTCTCTGCTCTTGTCTGATGCACATATGCACACAGATCTATATATATATATATATACCTTCTTCATTGGCATTCATATTCAAAATTATACCGACACACATACGGCTGGCATATCTCACATGAACTTACAGGTAGTAGTCCCGCGGGTTCGGGTCCGGCTTGGGACATCACCCCAGCCGACAAGGCTAAATACGACTCCCAATTTGCGACACTGAATCCCGTCCAGGGTAAAGTTAACGGTGCTACCGCAAGCACGTTCTTCAAGAAAAGCAACCTGGCTGTAGCCCAGCTCAAGAGGGTGTGGGAATTATCGGATACGGATAAGAGTGGCTATCTGGATAGCGATGAGTTTGCTGTGGGTATGCATCTCATTATACGCCTGAAAGGAGGGTCGCCGCTACCTGCGGCCCTGTCCCCGTCGCTGATACCGCCTTCGAAGCGGAGTGGAAGTATGTGAGTGTTGATGGATGTGTGCGTGACTATGTATCTATTACAATACGTACATGTACATGTTTGTGTTGTTGTATGTACATATATTCTATGTAAGGGTGGAAACATCTATGCATGAAGGTGAATGTGTAGGCATATATACCTATATGCATAAATATTCCCAAGTGTCTGCCGTGTGCGTGTGCTAAGCTAATATATATATATATGTGTGTGTGTGTGTGTGTGTGTGTGTGTGTGTGTGTGTATAGATATACATATATATGTGCATATATATATATATGTGTGANATATATATATATATATATATATATATATATATGT